TTTATATTGTATTGTTTTTATAACTTTTTTATTACTGCTAGTATTTTATTGCTGAATTACTCCAGAATCTGGAAATAGAACTGAATTATGTGTGACTCACCATCGCCCCCCTTATTCGCGCAGGCTTAATCGAATAGGGAAAGAGTTCGAATAGTGCATGACTGTTACACGAGACCTAATGAGAGCTTAATAAGTTCATTTCCGGCGAGGAAAACGCTCCTCGTTCTCTGAGTCCTTACATACTCATATTTCTCCTTGTACTGCAATGAAATTCATGATTGTTTTGATAGAATTCATGGGAATGTGCTCTGTAATGAAACATGATCCACCAGTACCCATCTGGGAGATTGTCTGGGAGCTACTATGTTCAACTACTCATTACTTGAGCCACCCCTTCACCGTTTCATCGTTACAGCATTAACTCGTTCCCATCAAAGACGTGATGAAATGGAAAACCATTTAGTGAAATGGCCGCTAATGATGAGAAATGCGAGAGGGTTCTCTGGTCGCTGAAAGCACAAAGGGTTCAATCGTCTTGTCGTCGTCAACAAATCCTCGTAGATTGTGAAATTCGTAAAAACGTCAATCTTCTAGATCTTTCATGAAAACCTTTCATTAGAAAATGAAGCCTACTCCTTTCCTCGCTCTCTTCCTCTTTTCTTTTCCGACAAATTTTGAGAGGAATTCTTCGGAGATGAGAAGCATTTCGGCATCAAAAAATTTGTTCGGGGACGTCCGTTCTGGAGAAATAAAAAGAAACATCTTGCCGATAAACACTTAAGGAACGTGCGTCACTGCGTCTGCTGAGATATCATTTTTCAGATATCTCTACCTCTGTTTTACGTTGAAACGATTTGTTCATGCGTGTACTTATTCACGTTGTCTCATAGGTGGATCCATCAGTTCAATCTAGGAGTTAAGTTCTATGACAAGGGGACTATGGTTTTATATGGGGCGACAAAGTGAGCGGGGTGACGACCTGTTCGTTTTCAAAGTTGTAAGTTGAGCTGGGCGATCTAGTTGCCTTGTTTCGGGAATTAAAGCTGAAGACAAGAAGCAGTCAATGTTTTTGTAGTTATCTCCGATTTCCACGAAGTGATGCATTCGCTCACCTATGGGGCAGTTTAAGAGAAAGGGAGAAGAAAAGTAGAAAAGCATGTGAGGATATGGGGAAGGTAGTCGAGCAAGTTCTGAGTTGGTGTTGTCCGAAATTCCCTCTAGAAGTTTACTCTCAAGAAGGGACTAACTACCGGTTGGCTGGATAACGTTAGTTGTTCATCCATAGTGACTGTGGCACTGATGATCCGAGTCAAACTCAGGTTACACCGAAAAACAAGACTTCCACGTCTTTGAAGTCGATTAATTGATGGTAGGCCCTTCTGGGAGGAAGAAGCTGCTCACCCTCAAGTTGCTAGGCTTAACGCTGTCACAGTGTAGACCAAGAGCTAGCTCATCAAGATATCATTACTATCCTGGGTGGCTGTTCAATGTGTAGAGCACCTTGGCGAAAATCGATCGCCATTGGACTTTTTATAGTACAAAATCCACACAGACGTATTTACCTCAGATAAAATTTGACTGATGTTCTGAACTTTGCAGTTTTCCATAAAATTTTATGGAAATCAGTCACAGACCAGACAAAAGCGTTCTTACCGATATGCTCAAGTACAGTCCGGACTGTTGCAGGCTTTTTTTAGATATGCGAAGTTATTTCCGCTACTTCCTGATGAAATCTTCTGATAGAAGTAGTCACTCGGTGTTCGAAAGCATGTCTCAATATTTGACAGCAAACATCCTTAAATTATGGTTTTGACCTTATTACATACTGTTAGGCCTGTACGGTTCTATTCAGCGTTGGTTGAATTATTCGATTCTCAAAAGCCCCATGTCCTCGAACCACGGCTTTTTTAATCGTCTACTTCAACAAATCTGTCTACATGCAGCATCTAATCTAAAGTGCTATTAGATAGATAAGCTGGTCCTTTAGAATTTCGGCATGAGTTTCTAACTTTCTTAGAACAAACAGCTTGCTCTTTGCACTGAGGACCACTTGAGGTCAATTTTGATACATTTTGTTACTTTTAAAATTCAGGGGACGATGTTGATTAGCGACGAGAGGCGTGACTACAACATGAGAGTCAAAGGACCGTTTCTCGGCTTGGAACTACAGTACTCCAATGAAAAATTACCTGCTCATGGATGATATCTCTTTGCACTTGTTGTTACAGAGGTCTCTGATTTTTATGACGGCCGAAGGGCCATATGAGGGCCGGTCCGAATGGACAGTGGCTATCGTTTTCCGAATGGAAGTTGAGTGCGTGGTGTATACCGAAGCAGATTTGGTCAGAACGGAGCGGTTCACCTTGTTCTTTCTAGTTCATAAAATGATAATGATTATAATTGTAAACTGTTGCGGTGTTTGGACTCTTTGATGAAGCTAAGGATAGCGGAAATCTGATCACATCATGCCTATCTTAGGCATCTCTCGATAACGTCGGATGTCCAACACCGCCGCTGATCGAATCTCTTCTATCAGCTAACGGAATCCGGATGTCGCCCACCCGGAAGGGGTTATAATTTAGCCGCTAGCCTTTGCAGTAGCCGTTTGGCTTTCTCATCAGCATCAACGGCAATCCGATGGGGGGTCATGGAATGGTGAAGCATGGTCTGGGGCGAGATGCGAAAGAAACGCCGAGAGACTGAGGTCGGAGGGGAGGTTGATCGCCGAGTGTGGCGACTGAGATGGCCACGAGGAGGCGGCTGCGGGCCGCGGCAGGGATCAATAGGAAGGAGGGGGAGGGCCCGGGTTGGCATGCAGATTCTGACATGAATGGCGGTTTATTAGCTATGACTGCCAAGGAATTCTGTTCCGTGCTCTTGCTTACTTTTGTTTTTCGCTTAATACGACTAAGCTCCCTACTCTGAGTCGCCGCCACATTAATCGGAGACCATTCAGATGATGTAGCCGACTGGAAGGCGTCTTTCGGCACACCTAATTAACGATTACATGCCATATGCATATGGCTTTGACGAGCAGTCGTAAAAGTTTTTCCAAACGTCTCGCCTTTCCTTTTTTCTTCCTCCGAAACCGTATCCCTTTGCTTTGTCAGGGTTCACTCCTGCGGTCGTACTTCATGCTTTTCATCTAAAGCTACTTTCGGTTGAAAATGATGTCCTGAGCAGAGGTCACCTCACCTCTGAGCTCTTTTAGGTTGTTTCTGCAAAACAGGGATTCTAAAAAATTTTTAGAAACAGGATAGTTTCGTGAAGCTCCTTTATGTAAGCAACAGAGCTCTCGGGACCGGATCGAGAGGGCACCTTGACAGGGAGCGGCTTCTATAAGAAAGTCGGTTCTGATGCCGAACTGGAAACATCGAAATCAGGCTCTGGCCAAGCGATCCGCCAATCCTCATAAAAATACCTCTGATCGGATTGCTGCTCATACATTCTCTCAATGACCCATCTGTCAGCTACTGTAAGCCCCAGTTTAAAAATGTCACTCGTCGAAAACCAATGCTTCACATATATCAAATTTTATGTGAACCCATCGCTCTGCGAACCCTCTTACTTATAATACGAGTGAATCTTCAGCGTTCTTTCTGTGGTCGTTTCATCTTCTTGTGATTCCAACTGCTTTCAATCGCCCATTTCTACCATTTATCAGCAACGTCTTTTTCAGTGACTGTCCGCACAGTAAAAGAAGGGGCCCCGTCTGAAGAAGTCTCGAAGTCTTGTCATGTTAGGCGGTTCATTGTAAAGTTTGCATCTAATCCGTTTACTGATTGAAGAAGTCATCACTGGACGTAGATACTGGTCAACATTTCATTTTTTTAGCATCGTAATGGTTCAGTGTTATATTCTATGTATGGGTTACTGTAGGAGACGGTAACTAGTCAATCCAAGCTGTTGTTCATAAGCAAAAGTGAGAAAAGAACGCTTCAAAGGCAATAATTGTGTATTCACATACGTTCCTGCGGAAGCAGTAGTTGGCAGGAAGGTAGTGCGAAAACTGATCGACATAACTTAACTTCATGCTAATTATATAGAAAACTATGAAAGGTATGAAGACTTATTGTACTCCAGTTAGTCGACGTATAGAGGTTACTTGACGATGACGCTGAAAGAAGTGCCTTATTATGGTTAAAGCGCTCGTCTTAAGGATGACGGACCCGAAAATCCCATAGGAGTTTACCCGACTCTGGCTCTACATACAAGGCCTCTCGATCAGTCATTTATACTGGTTCAGGTCTACCCCTCCTAAACAGCTCTCAAGATGTATTAAGCAATGCTTTGCAACCAATACTGATATTGAAACTTCCCAAACAAGCTTTTTACCGAATAAATCTGACGAATGTATAAGATAGAAGCATTGGGGATGCTATTCGTCAGCATACTTACTGCCATTTCTCAACGTTGAAGGAGAACATGGGCACTTTTCACGAGCTGCGATTAATGACCCCTTGCCTTTAGGGTGATGGATGGTCGGTCTTCAGTAGATGATGAGGAAGGTTATGGAGCTCCTGGCTTACCTGGTCTTTCATATCCCTGTACCGATTAGGGGGGAAGATTACGAGTGGCGAATAATGACCAGAACATCTCGTCAGCGGTAGGGACTTTCTAAGGGCTTTGTCAACGTTCCAGGAAGGGGATTAAAAGTTCAGAGTCACACCTTCAATTGTTCCCTTTATGAGCGTGTCAGGTACTTAATCTCAGAATGGTATTAGGAGTATATGTCCTGGGTTTCCTAGTGGGTACAGGTGTTGGGATTTGAATCCTCCCAGTTAATCTAGCGTCAAATCAAGGACCTCAAGGAAAGGTAACTAATTTCACTTGAAGGGAATTCGATTCTCGGACAGCACACGAACTAGCGCCACCTTTCGTCGCTATCTATTTCATGCCTTAACACCAGGAAACTACAGAGATTCCATGAAGAGCAGTCTGGGTGCGTTGAATCAGCCTGAAATTGCGAAACTTTCAGACGGAAAAGGCCATTTTTCAGTTCATCGATGCGTTCGTTTTAATTTCAATTCGTATCGTCCAATTTCGGGAATTTCGAAGCGCAATGTCATGGAAATTGCATGGCTTGAGTGTCGCAAATCCCTTAGCTGCTGCCAATCCACATTCTGATGAACCGTGTAGTCCGATGGCGATTCGATTGTCTCGATGTATAGCTGTGTCTCTCCAACCACGCTTACATGCATCGATTTTGCCAATGCATAGCCGCAGAGAAGGAAGATGCAATTCAAATGCGTCCGTTCGAACTTGTGCGGTGGCTTTGTTTGGCTCGTTTGAGCCATCCCGGGACAACAACGTGCTTTCGGCAATGATTTGTGTACGATTTTGATGTCCGCAATCGTGCCAGCCACGCTGTGTTTTCCATTAAAACTCAGTGGCGTGACGATGTCAAAGAGACAAACAGAATGGAGACGACCGTCTTGTCCGGCGCTCGTTCTGCCTGGTTTCATCCTGATTGACGTCAGTCGGCTGGGTGCATTGTGTGATGAGCTGGGACGACGAAAGGCTCCGTGAAGCTCACGTCTATGCCCATACTCGGCTCTCTTCATAAGATGTCCCTCCCTGTCACTCATATCTGCAGGGCTTTCAAGCGCTTTTTTTTCAGGAACTGCTGAACACTTTGCACATCATCCGCCGCTTCTGTGAGATTCATAGAGGCGTTTGAAGTGGCCAGTTGTGGGAATTGAATTTTCGGATTTCGGCGACGTTTTTCTTTTTTCAAAACCCTCTTGAGCTCCATGTTTTCATATCACTCATATACCATCCTCAAGATTTACTTCCTTCACGGGAACTGACTTTCCACATCAACTTGCGAGTCAGAATTGGTACAATTTTGAACAGACAAAATGAGAATTAAACTTTGCCACAATTCACCCCTTAGATTTTGCGTGCCATATAATTCGATTTCCACCTCATCTAATTTTTCATCAATGCGAAGGCCTCCTATAGCTTTATAACAGAGGGTGCTTAAGTTTGAATTGGCAATTTGTAATTGTCAGAAAAATAGGAATTCGGCAAGAAGCGAAATAAATAAATCAAACGTTACTACCTACAAGTACTGTAATTTAATGGGGTAAGAAGGTACTCTCGAATAGTATGTGTCATATGGAAACAAAGAACTTCTGGGTGAGAAATTCAAATTAGATTCACTGCAACCACAGTAATTAGGATAAGGACCACCAAATTAAAACGCCCGAATTAACTGATTTCTTTTGAATCTGTGGACTTTACTATTTTCCATTCTCAAAAGTGCCGTTACACATAAGAGTGTGGGAAATTGCGTGTCCTGAGAGGTAAGTGCAAGGGGCGATAGAAATAGGAAGATCCTAGAATGGCCTCATTGTCGTCATTATGGACTTGAAAAGCTTTCTTCTAGTGCATCTTAGGTGATTTTCCTCTGTCGCGAAGACATTTCCCAATTTAGCTCTGAAATCCGGGATGTCGGGTTAATGCCAAGGGGGGGGGGGGTTTGCTTCCTGACATTTCTTCGTAACCTTTTTTGGAATTTTTGTCTCCAGCTCCATTTCGCCTTGACAAGCAAGCTCGGTGTCCTTTTTCGCGAACCGGATATGTGGTCAAATTCCTTTCAAGTCTTGAAGGCCTTTTAGATTGCGACCGAATTCCATTCAAGACACAGTCCAGGCCTTTCAAATTTTTTTGAAGATAAAGGCCCTGAAGCTGAGGCACGTTCCTCTGAATGTTAGGCAATGCTGTTCGTGCCTTCTGAATTCTTGAAGCAACTTGAGCGGAAGATCAGTGCATGGCCTGTTTGGAGTGTTTTAATCAATAACATCTGCTACGTCACCTTTCGGAAAAGCCATTTGTGAGATGAAAATCCTTTAGTCCTTCATGATGAGGTGGTATATGAATTTCATGGATCGTAAATATCTCACGAATTTGGTTCAGATTACGGCCATTACCTACCTAATTACCAACATTTCGGATCGGCTTTTTCAGAGGTAGAAGACAGGGGGGTTATATTCCGAGGCTGGAAATCAGAGATTACCCGGCATCAAACGTAAAGTAGCGGTATTGACACATGAGTACTAATGTATCTACCAGTTTGTCTTCTTGGAAGGAGTCACAACTCAGTTCTTCGAACTCTTGAAATTTTTCTTTTGGAAGTACATCTCTGGAGGAACAAAGCTCTCCCCAAGAAACTCACGGCCCCTTTCTAGAAAGTCTCTTCTTGGTAGGGAGCTGCAGATTGCTTTGTTCTTTGCTTCTTTATAGTCATGAAGGAACGTGCAGTTCATCAGAAGAACGTTCAATTGGGAAAGATGTCCGCTATCAGATTTTTCTGGGTGCCCCCCAATGGAGTTTGACGGACTGAGATAGCGTAATCGCATAGCTATCTCGTAAAGACTGCTTCTCACTTTTTCGAAGCATGCTCCTACCCTAATCCTAAAATCCGGGTCGAGTTTTCTGCTTGAGCGTTTGCGGCTTGTTTTCCACCTTAAATCCGATCACATTTTAGATCCCACCACTAGTTTTGGTAATGATTAAATTAGTTTAAATGTTGCCAAGAACTGGCTCCAGTTCCTCTGTAGAAGATCTTGTTGATTTGTTTATCTGAATTTGCAGAGCAGAGGTAGGGCTTTTAAAAGTTCTGCGTTTCCCTATTGACGCAGTGATTCTGTTATTGTCAGGTGTTGATTGATTATCTTTGTTTCAATAGGGATCAAAAGGATGATGACCAGGAATGAGCAATTTCAAAAATATGGATGGGGAAAGTAAGAGGCTCCTGTGGGCAAGGAAGCTCCAATGGTTGCTTTCCGAAGCACATGGGAAGGTCGTTCTTAATCCAACATCTTCTAATAAACCATCATCTACTTTCATTTTTTTGTTGTGGATCACTCCCATGTCCAGGTGCTTACAAACAGTAACTTCCTCAGTGACCTTAGTTTGTTCTTCTCAAATAGGGGTGTATATATATATGTATTTATTTATTTATATGTATATAACGGTAATAGCCTTGGTTCCTTGCTCGGCTTCTTTTCTGAGGCCGTGGCTGGGCTCCCTTGTCCATTATCGCACATATTTGGTCCCTGGGACGTCTCCACTTTCCTTGAAGGTATCCTTCTGAGTGACCGGATTATTTAGTTTCTTTGAAAAAGGTTTCTTATTGGCTTGAGATTAAAAATAAGAACTGTTTTCAACTGAAGCTTTTTGAAGTATTCCCATAACTCGATTTGTGGTAAGTCAATGAAGAGGTTCAGTGTCGGGCAAGAGGAGTCCTATAGACTGATTTGAAATTCCACAAAATTTTGATGACTTTATAAATGCGGTACCCGTTTGCATAAATTGAATAGGCAAAACCGAGGAAGAGGTTACGGTAGCGACTTGAATTGATTCAAGTTCCTTCCTAATTTTTCGTACAATTACCAAATAGCAAGCTTTCGAGCGGCTTTGTTTACGGCTGGCAAGATGGCCGAGTTGATAACTGCACGGAAAAACAGAAATCCTAACGCCTAGACCTCGAGTACAAACCCGATTGGCAGAGCTCTGTGAAGATCATTTCTTCTACCATCGACCTATCAATAATAAAAAATGATTCTTTGCTCTCATATTCGCTGTAGGACCGCGACTTATAACTTCGCTACACTATTGGCAGTGCAATTTTGGGGGTTAGATTAGTGAATTTCTATTTGTGCGTTCTATTCTGCAAAGATTACAAGCCTTCAGGAAAAAGATTGTATAAAAAAATTAAAATGGGATTTGTGGTGAAAATCTCGTATGGTTGAATGCCAACCAAGAATTCTTAGTGTTCGGTCCTATTGTTCATAGTTACCAAATCCTCAAATACCTTTTTCTTGAAAGAATAATCCCACCTTTTGTCGTGAAATGCTCGAACATACGTCATTTACATCCCCAATCTCTCCTGTCGTCCGCTGGATTTCTCTTAGTTTCTCACTATCATATATGGCTTCTTTCGATCAACCCAGCAGGGGATATAACAACTGTCCTCAACCCTTAACTTATGAATCCTTTGAGTTCCCATACATCGCTGAATCCTTCAATATGTAGCATTTTTGCATGTTAATGGTCTTGTTTACCTGCGTCACGGAAAAACAAAAACAAGAGTGTGTAAAAACATGTCGTTCATTGGCAATTCGGTGATGCAACAGCTGTTCCTAAGTACCTAATAACATTTCTGGTTGATATACCTGGTCCACGATGCCGAATCTTTGTGGTACAGCTGCACGACTATGGGCGGAGTGGAGGGCTAATCTCGTGCTCATGAGTTTGGTGGTACTAATTGTCTTGTAGGGTCCTAAGACCCCTTAGAAATTTTGCAACTAGTACTCCTAATTGTTTGCGATTAACTGTTGAGGCGCTCCTCGCATTTGTTTCAGAAACTGTGAGCAGAATCTTTGTGTTGGAATGACCAGGAGAGGCATCCATTTGCCTGTTGGAAGGCAACACCATTGAAGAACCAATACTTTCTAATTCCTAAACTCAATTTTCAACAGCAGTAGCTAATGGCACAACTGCAATGGTCTGGAAAATGGGGTGCGTTGGCCAATGCTATCTCCAAGCGAATGAAAGCGTCCGAACATGAATTCATCCTCAAAGCTCAATTAGAACTCCCTTCCTCGGTGTTTGCTTTTTGATTGACGGGATGGACGAAAAAAAATGGAGGCGACGTAGACCAACGATTCCCTTTCGCCGATTAATTGCCGATTGCACATCGGACTTCCTATTCTCTGATGAAGAAAGTCTCGCTAATAAGTAGACCAAACACCACTAAAACGATCCTTTCTAGTTTTCTCTGACGTAGGAATACTGACTGGGACATGTGGTCCCATCATCCCAGTTCAGTTTGGCTCTAATGGGTGCGAGCAGAGCTCTTAGGTCGATTTTCGCCTTATAACAAGATGACCTTTACAGCTGCCCTAAGTAGGAGTCTAGGGAACAGCCCTATATTGTTGGAGTGAAACTCGTGTACTTTAGTATTTGAGCTGGGCCACAAAATTGCTACACACGCCAATCAGGCTTTTCTACGTATTGACCGAACTTCACAATGAGGTTCATGTTCTTTCGACAGAGTACAGCGTTTCTTTAGTTTTGCCGAAGACCTAATGAAGCGCCCTATTCTCCCAGATTGACTGGAGCCTGTACATGTTGTTTGTGTAGTCGAGCATCTGTACTCTTCCACTGACGCAATCCTTTTGGCGAATTCTTCTTCAGCCATCAACCGCATCCAATCAATGGGACCCATCCATCCCACCTGGTCGATTCGAGACAACTATCAAGTGCCGATGTAAGGGTCTCCGCTCATACATATGCTTCCGAGTTTATGTTTCTGTTGCATAGTACGACGGTATAGGAACAAGCTCCCAGTTCCTACCTATTCGAATTTAATGCTTCATTTCGTTTGGTTTTCACTTTCACTCTTTCAGGGCGATTGTATTTCCTTTCCCTCTTCGTAGAGGTAACCTTGTTCCCTATGCCTCGACCATCCCTTTGAAATCCCTTGGGAACGATTTGCTAATTGTTAGTGCTGCTTATAAGATCCTAATCTTGTTGTAAACAATCCTTCCGTAGCAGCGTCATCGAAGTGCGTCACTGTGACTGATTCATTTTCGTCACTGCCTTCCAGAATCAATGAATGTGGTCGTTCCGATGCTGATGAGCCATCTGCTCCGAAGCGCTCTCATCTAAATGGATAAACGTTACATTTTGCTCGCATAGCCTTAGCTTCCTACTGGCTCATGAATCATTAATCTTGGCGTCATAATGGATATCCACTCGATTGAGCGCCTAGGGATTATCCTTCTTCATTATCTTATTCATAGAGTAACGATGGAATTCCTTCGTGAATGATTCAACGACGTCGTCGGAACTGACTATGGGGTTAGCCTTTGTTCTGGATTGCTGTACCAGTGGATCCATTGTTTTTCAGCATTAAATTGGTTCAACATTACTAGAACAATGATTTGATAATCATAGGGTATCACCTGTTATCCCTTGATATAATGTCGGGAAACAAGTTTCTGTAGAAAAATCTGAGAACGAGCTTGCCTGGGAGCTACTAATTGAAGTTCGGCATAGAGTAGTTGTGTTTTACAANCTTTTTATGTGGATGCCCTTTTAATGTAATTCTAGAGCTTTAAGTATTTTATAGCATGGCGTAATAAAATCTAATAGTAATCCATTATCAAGCAACGCTGACGTCGAGCCACATTCCAATATATCGAGTAATTAAAGCTCCGACGAAGTAGTGACTCATCATATTACATTCATTCTAAGGCTTTCTCCTCGAGGACGACTACTGCTCTCATAAGTTCCATAGCCTATAGGGTAGCCCCCATTTTATCGCTTTTGACTATACCAATTGTTTTGAGGAAAAATAAGGCCCCTGTTTTGATGAGCGTTCTTGATGTGTAATGGTTCTAATGACATGTTGGTGAGTTGTTTTTGGATTCAAATTCAGATTGATGTCAAAGGAGATGGCAGTCTTTCTGTAGCAAGCTTAACTGGAACTCAAGGTAGTTGTCTGGGGTAATGCTCATTTGAGGTGGTTGTCATATGGGCGGAAATACCTAACGTGGGCGGGATACCAATGTAAGTCTGGCCAGACAACAAATGGCGCTACATATCCAGTATGATCAGGGAAATTATAAGTTTTTGTCTTTTTCCAATCACAGTTGTGATTTTCGACAGGGTTCCAGAAAATGGCTAATGATGGATGTTTAAACGATAAACTTTGGATCTCTGCTTTCTTACCCGCTATATCGTCCCTCCTTGGATGGCAGATATCGCAAAACAACAGGAATCCTCAAATGGGTTTGAGACAATTGCCAGTTGTCATGCCAGTTGCTTTTTCTGGAGGCCCACGTGCCTTCCATGTTTGATGTAACCTAGACGAATTCCATTTCATTAAGAAGGGTAAAACAAGATAGGACTCTAGGGCTCATGCTCTTTAAATTGCATAACGAATACTCAAGCAGAATTTGTGTCAAAACAAATTGGAGCTCGGTAAAAACAATTGAATTACTGTTTACGGTCATTCGCAATTCTTCAATTGCTAAACAATCTATCATCTTTCCGAGAATTCTTCCGTAGTCTCTGCTGAATCACAATTGCCCCTTTTGCGGTTGTCCTCGGGACGTATGCTTCGTGAAGAAAACATCTTCCATCTTTTGATAAATATTTCATGATGGTGTGGGAACAACAAGCAAATATGTAATTGATCTTTCTCTTTTGACGTCCTTATGGAGTGTTTTCGGTTACTAAATATTCTGAACCAGTTGGTTTTTTCAGAAGGAACGGAATAACCCCGCATTCAGCGGACATTGACGTTGCCACCGCGGCATTGGGCAGAAAACAATCACATGTTGGAACATCGACATAGCGCCGACGACGAACGTCAGTGAACCTGACATCGTCCCATCTTCCTTATAGAAATGTAACTTTATTATTATTATTTTTAATCTCAATCGATAGTATTCAGAGCAGTGGTAGGAAGACTGGGCCAGAACAAGAACGGGCTCAGCAGCATCAGTGGTTTCCTAGTTTGGCTACTATGAGTTGGGCAAATGGTCCACCAAATAGGGCCACTTGGAGTTTTTGAGGACCATTTTGGGAAGATTTCCGTTATTTCTTTTCCTTCTTCGTATATGGGGAGGCATAGGACCTGGATCCCTCCCAAGTTATGCAGTGTTGCATATTTCTTGCACAATGTTCATAGTGCCCCTTTTTTGGAATCGTTAGGCTCTGGAGTTTGCTGTTGAGGTTTAGATACGTATTGGTCTTGGGAATCGCAGAAATGCTACCGTACAGGGTTAGGTCTAAATTTATTGAAGGCACGATATCGTTTTCTCGCAGTTCGATTCTCTCAATCGATGCTTATTTGATTCTTATTGGAACCTTCGTGTTTTCATAAATTCCGCTTGGCGAAGGGCTATGACTGAGAGGAGGACTGTGAAGTTTGTTCAGTTACCAGTTTACCCAAGCCTTGTAAGCCGTAACTCATAACCCATACTTATGCAGTTTACAAACTCGATGTTATTGTTACCTCAAAACAACAACTTGGCTGCCACATGGTCGTGCTGAAAGATTTATGGGGCAAGTACATTAAATTTATTATCTGCACGGCAGCGCTTCTCAGCTGGGTGCCAACCTCTAAGAATGAAATAACTTTGAAAGTGTCTATACTGCAAAGTCAGTTAATAGTATTCATACGTATCAACTTAGTGTGACTCAAATAGATCTCATCAGTACTGTATTCCTATGTTTAGCCCTACTGGCAGAATAATGGGCGCCAGTCTCACCTCTCCAATACCTCATCGACCCCCTACATCGGTAAGTTTTTCCAGAGGAAACTGGTATAGTTAAGAGAATAAGGTTCTCATAAGTCTACATTTAAGGTCTGTAACCACCTGTTTTCACCACCGGATGCGCCAATCTTCGTACCAAAACGTCAGTCTGTACTCATACAAGGTTGGCAGTGGAGTAAGAAGAATATACAGCCAGTCGCTAAGAAGTCAATGGGAAAAGGTACAGGTTTGTTCGAAAAAATCTTGCAGTCGGTACCTGGGGTTTCCTGGATTTGAAATCAGTCCTGACAGAATAGTTATGGCGTTTGGATCTTTAGAAATGGATCCAGTTTATAGAAACAGTTCCTTGGCTACAAATAAAAAGAATTTTACATGAAGTCTGGAAAGCAGATTCACGTAGATATCATTTCGAATGATTTTTAGCCTTGGGCCATTAAATATGAGTAGAAATGCTTTAGAACACATCGGATCACGCTCGACAGACAGCATGGCAACCTATCGCACCCAACGGGATCTGCCTTACTCACAGATCCCAATCACTCTAGATAACAATCAGAACTATAAAAGGTAGTTGCCATCCAAACTCTTCGAGAAGCCTTCTATAATGAAATCCCTTCAGATACGAACCCGAAACTACAGTAATCCCGAATTTCTACAGTATACGCGAAGAGATCAAAAGGGAGTTGCGTTTGAATAAGCAAGACTTTGTAAACAATAATCTGGTGAGTCCAGAAGGACCTCCAGCACGAACTCCACTCAGTCCCACTCATACAAGGTAAGTCTTGTAGTGCCCGCTTTTTTTTCTGATACCGTAATTGATGACATTCAGGGCGAATACAACCGTAGCTGGTACTATTTCGAGAAAGCTCATCAGTAATGGGACCGTGAAACATTCGGAGAGCAGTGACGAGAAGAAACCCTCCAAAACCCCACTCGATATCAATGTTGGTTCTTAATTTTCGATTTTTTTTTTAAATAACCTTCTCTAAGTTGCCAGCCTGGGATGGAAGCCACCGGTTTGTTTACTTGTAAAATATTATTTTCAACTGAGGTTGAAATATATACATTAAACAAATTGGCTTCTACTAATAAGTTCGGTAAGTAAATCGTGCATTGAAGCTGGGAGATAAGATATGGAGAGTTTTTTGGTACGGTGGATTGAACATCCCTGGATGATACGAATCGGCACGAATCTGACGTATCATTTTTGTTCATGACTCTGGGGTTGTTATGAACACGACCATCTTCAAGGTTGAGCACGACCCAGCGGTCTTCACTAATTACAAATTCCTAATTTTTTTAGAATTGAATTTGCCTCCATCTCTGAAGCTCTCCCTCCACCCTCTTTCTGGGAAAGGATGAGCTGCAAAAAGAACTAAATTTAGTTTTTGCGTAACAGTGTTAGTACCAAGAATTTACTCACCTCTTGGGAATGGAAGTGCTCCTAAACAACTCTATTCCTGAGTTCTTTTTTTTTGTTTCTTGGTAAAAAGCTGGCGTCAGGAAGTGAACGACAGGTCATCTATGCTTCTCGAAAAGTAATTTAACTTTCATCGTCATTGGTTTGCATGTTAGTTTGCATAATTATAAATCCAACTGAAACGCTCTTGAGAATTCTCATGCAAGAATGTTCCTGAGAGGACTTGAAAGAAATTGTGATCATCATTCATCGCTGTTCATCCCCAAAATCTTATTAACAATGAGCGCATTTTTCTTCCGAGATTCCTCTCGGAAACTTTCTCTCATGCGAGTTTTTCAGAACTTTTCAGGTGGTCTTATAAATATGGAAAGCAGTGCAGGTAGCGATAGGATATCGGACGCCAATCGGAGGAGATATTCATCGATTAATCGTAATGATCGAAGAAATTGAAATGAAAACGATCCGATAAGCTGATCAACATGCAACTCTGTACCGCTGATTTTTTTGGAGATACCTTTTTCACCTGAAGTTCTGAAAAAGAAACTGTTAAAAAAGGCAGGAAACCATTTTGTACTCCTCTAATTTTTCCAATTCGATACATATCCATTCCTTTTCCCGGATTATTCAACCCTACTAGGTTATTAGCGGAAAATTATGGCTCATAACTCTAGCGGAAGCTATGAAGCTTGCTGGATCCAATGTAATGGAAAATCTTAGGTTTTCAAACGTACCCACTTTTGAAGAAGTGGGTCTGTACAACAGCGCTTATTGAGGCTTTGCTTATTGGCCGTCTGCGATTGAAATGAATTTTTTCCATCAACTCAATTTTGTCGTATGGCTTCTTGCCTGTCGTGCTCTAGCAGCGAGCCTAATTTTCAAAATCTGTACTTTAGGATTTCTCAGAAGCCCACGCATTTTTTGGCGGCTTTGCGCACCCAAGAGATTCCTATGAACGAGGAAACTTTTTCCATAGCAAACGGTTCGAGGAATAAGAGTTGTAGTAGCACAAGTGCGAAGTGAACCTGAACACGATGGCCCCTTCCCTATTCGTTGGAGCACAATAAGACTAAGCCTACTTAGGTACGTAAATGCCGGGGGCCTGGATAACCAAGGGTGTTAATTGTTCATTTCAGATGAATGAGCTGATCCAACAACTTATAGTTCATCAGCGGAATTATNNNNGCTCGATATTCCATCAACCAAACGCAGACTAGATGCAACAATTTTTCGCTAACCATTGCTTCTGTGCGCTTATAGCGTAACCCTATGTTTAGGCATTTTTTTGAAGTTCAAAGTTTTCAATAGTATAATAGGCATAGAACAAATGCAAATGCTTGAGTTTTGTATTTTCGCGAAAATTGCTGAATGGTTTTGTGAATTTTTGAATTCTGTTCATTTTGTTATTTTCTGTTCTTCCACTTGCATCTATTTGCAAATTCTTTCAGTCGACTCGACGTCGTACCGTAATCCAGGCATCCACTTCGGAACTACTACGAGGTCTTGGCCAGTTCATTGCACAGAACAGTCACATTGCCGCGTTTGAACCAGCACATCTTGTCATGTGGCTACGTACCGTTGATCGAGCACTTCTACTTCAGGTTAGTACTGCAGGAGCGGCTGAAGCACTTATGATGGCAGACGAGAAGACGGGAGCTAGGAGCTAGTATGTGTAAGCTTAGGTTGGGATACGGCTCACATAAATTTGTCACGCGCGGCTCAGCTCGGCGTGATTGAAAGGTCCGCACTGCTTGTGTCGGATTTGTGAAAGACATGTCTAATTTCACGTCCACTTCATTCCCATCTACGCTTTTCCCTAGCCTTCGTAGACATTTTGTAGAAGTTCATGAAAGAACGGACTTGTTTATCAAATGTGCTGTGCAGATGAGTGGAGTAATGTTGGAATGTTATTTTCAGGGATGGCAGGACGTGGCATTTATCAATCCAGCAAATTTAGTCTTTGTTTTCTTGATTATCAGAGAAGTAATTCCAGGTATGAAAGCACTACAGTGAGAAGTTGAATACTCTTTTGAAAAAGGATTATTTTCAGATGAGGAATCGATCCATACAGTAGATGATTTGCATGCTTGGGTGCTGACATGTCTCTATATTAGTTATTCCTATATGGGCAATGAAATCTCGTACCCTTTGAAGCCTTTCCTCATCGAACTTGTGAGTTGGAACAATGGATATTGATTTGTCATGCGAACGCCTTATATTGATCAAAAAAGTGTTGTGTTCGTTTGATAACGGCTGCCTTTTTTCAGATAAAATCAATAATTATGGTCCACTGCATTTAAGCTTGATTTGGTTCCAGTTTTTTTTGTGTTTCCGTGAGAAAAGAATTTTTTGGCATTCATCAAACCCTTTCTGGGATGCGCACTGGCACTAGTTGCCAATTCGAAATTGTAGTTTTGTTTGAATGCGTATTTCGCCCGTAAATGAAATGTGGGATCCAGCTAGCATATAAGTCAGTGGTTTCACCTTCCCAAGCGAGCCTGGTAACAAGTAATCAACCCTAGGGGTTGGTTTCTTGGTTGGCCTAAATGATATCAACTCAGAATGCAGTACCATTATCACATGTGTGGTAGCGGCACAATGCGGCTTATACCACCTCGGGTTTGGTCCAACGATGCTGTCTCGAATCGGCGTCAAGTCACGCCAACTGGGTCTCTCATCCTACCAGATACCGTAGGTAGATACCTGGTTGGCCTGGGAGGGTAAAAANCCCAACAGGCCAAGTAAGTACTAGACGGCATCACTATTTTGAATGTATCTTAAATTCGTGAATGATGGAACTGATTAGCGGCCTAGAACTTCATTCTTTATCGTTCATAACAAAGCTTAACCATCAGAAGTTTATGCTACGGATTTTTATCATGACTTTTTCAGGACCGTGATAAATTTTGGGAACGATGTGTAATGATAGTGACGAATCACAGCGAAGATATGCTCCGACTCAATTCGTCGTCCGCATTTTTCACCGAGGTATTCAGCGAACTCAAAACCTACTCGACGGATTTCTGACGATGTCGTCACGGTGTATCTGAATCCGTTGTGCGCCGAAGGTTTCGGTTCTAATCGATATGCACTTTTTGTTCATTATTTTCTAATCACTGCTTGATCTCATTCGATCATTCTGATACTCATTCCATGACGCTTCCTTTTTTTCATATGTGATCTCGCAAACTTGCCCTGACCTCTCGGTGATGATCTCTTTTGTAATTACCAGTCAGTAAACTTAGGGACTTTGTAAACGGATATCCGGTTCATTGAATAGCTGAAGAGCCGTAGTTTGGTAAGTTTCTCACGATTCCGTGCTAGCGGTGCTTTGTATTTCTTCTTATTCATCTAGCTGCGTTCAGAGAGCTTTCAGATATTCACGCGATGGATCATTATCCATGGTTAGTTTGTGGGCGATAACGATGATGACCACAAAGCGGCGTGACCCTTAGTATTGAGTGATTTGGGGCGGTTAGGTCAATCATTCATCAGAGGGTAAAATCGACTCAAAAGGTCATTATCCACATTTTGTGTTTCAAAATTTAGTTGCGCACTGTCGCTCTTAGGACATAGTAAAGTCTGAACTCCTTTCCCCCTCTACACGGAACAACATCGTCAATGTCAGAATCGACGTTTCCGCTCCGTCTTTGAGCAGCCGAATATGATGCCAGCCTGCACTTGAACAGCTCTTTCCTCAGCGGGTCTCTTACCCGAGCATTCGTTCTCTCCGTCATCTTGCCTAATTCACACTACGCCATGCCATTCTTGTTCCACCACGACCACCACCACCACTTTAGTGTCCTTTTTTGTTTACAAGACCTTCCGCTTTTTGCTCAAGCCGACCTGTTCCCAGTAGATCGTAGATAGACTTCTCCGTTTATATGAGTCCCTCTCTTAACAAGGAGATTCTATAGAGATTTCTATTTGTATGATGGTGCTATTCGCTTTAACCATTCTATCCATTTTTCGCAGTTCATTGTCAATTTTACAAGTAATGTATGTAACGTTCGTCGCCACGAGATGACAGATGTTCCTTCGATTCCGTTTCCATTCGCTTTTGTGAGCTCACATTACCAATCACCAAGTTGTGCCAATATTTACATCATCGCGAAATGAACAACTTATTTCTATGTTTTCTATGTTTCCTCGACAGGATTAGGCAAAAGCAGGAAGTCCGGAGAAGTGACAGCAGCTGTAGGTGTATGGAATGATTGGAATTGCGATAAAATTGCTGATATATGGAGGATTCGGCGTTTTGTGCATCCCGTAGGGTAGAGGTGATAATCTGTAGGGAGCAAAACGTTATTAATCTATGGCTTACCTCAGAAACTTTCGTTAAAATATATTGTTTTAAGGCACAGACCTCCTTTAGCTTTTTGTGAATACTTTCGGAATAGGGGTTGTATACGGTAGTGAGACTGGTTAATTTAATGTGGAGCAGGTACCAAAAGGTGGGTCTAGAACCGAATTTGGCTTGTGTCTTCACTTTGTTTAACCAAGCACACCTTCTGTACAGAGTACCGAACTAACTGTCCGACAGACTCCTTGGGAGAGCATGAACAGTCTATTTTGATACTTGGGCTGGCCCTCGTAAGTCACAATGGTGGCCGAATATGCCTTCAAACGCCTTCTTCAATAACACAATGAGTGGGTAAGTCAAATTAGGTTGTCGTATTCCTTCGGGTAGGTGCAGTCATCAATTTCAATCTTTCAGATCTTGGCAGAAGTCATGGACTAACAGTTGAAAAAACTGGCTCATTATCAAATCGCGGCTCTGAAATTGAAAAAAAGAGGCAACCTAGTTTTTTTCGACTTAGTTTTTTTGTATTTTCAATTTTGATCAGTCTGTTTGGGAGCTTACTGAGCCTGGGCATCTTCACTCGTAGAAGTACCTAGACTCATCTTCCGGTACGAGGGAAGGGGCCGTACGTACAGTAATCAAAAAAGTCGTCAGTTCACTACCAAAGATTATGGGAAAGTTGAGCTACAAGACGGTCAGCACACATTCGGCCAACGCTCTTATCTCAAAATACCAATGAAAACGATTGTCGTTGCGATTGAGGGACCAATTTCGATTGTCAAGAGGTGCCATTATCCTTATCAGTTCAAGATAAATGAATCATTGTTTGCTTATACTTGCTCGTCAAACAATTTCGTTCAACCAAATCGGCCAATACATCCTATCGGCCCTCCTTGGCGCCCTTCTTGACGTTTTCCTGTGAAGAAATTATTTATTTTTTTCTCTTCTTAGGTAACTCACACAAATGAAATGAATTTGATTGTTTAGGGTTTTGAAGGGGTAAATGAACTATGCGGGTTTATTATAATTTATGTATAGCGTGCTTGACATCCTCATTGTTCAAATTGGCCGATTTTCTATCATTTGTTGATTAGGAAAAAGTAAGGGCTCAAAATAGGCTTCAAACTTTTGGAAAATGTTGTATGCAGCCGAGACCAGCACATTTTGAGCGACATGAATTCTTGATTATTTTGGAGTAGTTTGACACAACCCCGTAAAATAGAATACTATAACTCCTTTATGTTCGAAAATTCATAAGGTGACTTCAACCGTTTTTCGATTGTAGGCTTGCTCAACCTTGCTTGTAGACATTGACTAGCTTTGGATAGTCAACATTACAGGAATGTCAAACGTCCAATTCAGCACCGAGATCTACAACCCGGTAAGATTTCCATCCATTAGTTAGATCCTCAATGAATCCCGGGGAGTTTGTGATTTTTTTGGCATTTTGACAGTTTTTTGAAACTTCTCAGTCAGAGAAATGCATTTGGACTGGAAAGCAGGAAGTATAGAAAATGTAAATGAATGGGAAAAGTAAATGACAGGTATCAAAGCTCATACGTTCCTTAGTAGGGGCGAAGGGGAGCATTTGCTGAATCAGGACACGATGACAGAAATTTGTGGTCGTCGCAAACGACACGTTCAGGGGCGAACTTCGTTGTTCGCTACGACAGAGCACCGCGGACGGAAAATCCGCGCGGTCCGCGGTGTACAGATCATATGAGCCACTAACAATTCTTTTAAGACGCCTATCTTCTACTTTTTTGAAACAAAAAGCACCTGAAGAGTTATCTTACTTCTTCATTATCTACTGATTACAACACTGATAATACCCAGTCGTTGTCGAGGAGCTGTCCTTTTTACATTATCACTTCGCGAGGGCTCCGACGATAGAGCACTTAGAGGGTCAGAGCACTAGAATCATTATAAGGATTGCCCTTTCACGGCGGATAGGAGGCTAATAAAGTTGTAGCAACTCGGATCTAACAGAAAAATATATGGGGTCGGATGGTCCTATTTCTTATTTTTCAGAGCAATCCCATCGAAGTTCCAGTGAAGGGTTTCACTTATGGCCAACGCCTCCGAGTGGTTCTAAAACCTACTGACAAAAAAGACAAGAAATTCCATGTAGGTCGATTAATTTAATTTTTTTTATTTTACTGCTGTTGAGTTTCAGTCTCTTCAGCGACGGACTAAAAACGTTTTCGTCCCTCGAATTGCGCTAGTTTCAGATAAATCTCAAAAACGGAGACGACATCGTCGTTCACTTCAATCCTCGCTTGAAGGTATAGCTTTAGCATATTTTTGACTCTGCTGTCACTAAAGTTCGTGGTTTAAGCTCGGCATGCAAATTATTACCACATTACAGTAATAAGTAATACGGTACTGAAAAGTATCGACGAGTATCAATTACGTGAAGTATCCCGTATTCAGTCTTGACAAGTTGCTCCTAACAACAACATTCTACCACCTCTAAACTTAGACGAGTTTCTAGTTGTGCCAGTTAGTAAAAACGAAATACTAATCCACACGGTAGTGGGATGTTCTTGATCTGTGCCATTAGGTCCGGTTCTTGGCAACAGAACCGAGTACTGTACGAGGCGCACAAATGCTGATTAGAAAGAGCGTTTCTGAAAGCTTGAACAAAATGTAGGGTGAACGGATTACCAACATGAGGGCCCAACAGCTTGGAGACGGTTAGAAATCGAATGTCCGCGATTTATTCATTTGTTCCTCTTTATTTCCACACATCCTGAATTGACACAGCTACCACAGGAGAACCCTTCTTTCACAGTAGCTTTGCTGCGTTTCATGAAATTTGGTACGATTTTAGGATGAAGCATTGGTGTTCAATTCGTTCTATCAAGGTAATTGGCAGTATGAGGAGCGGGCATCGGTGGTATTCCCCTTCAAAAAGAACGAGATCTACACTATCGAGTTTGTCGCGACAGGCCAGAATTCTGTAACGGTAATTTCCTTTATTAGTTTCTGAGGGCTCATTAAAAACTAAATTGAAGGCAAGGAGTAGCCTATTAGTAGGTCAGTGATCCACTTTTTAAGCCTGTGTACTAGTTCTGATACCATTTGGATTGCATTCACCTCGTCCACTGCCTCTAAGCATACGAAAGCACCTTCGGAATCTGAAAATCTTGGAATCAACACCTTCCTTAGCCCTAACAGAGTTCTGTTTTCTTGTTGGTATAAATTTTTTTGTATTTTTTTCTTCCATGGCATCGCAGATTCAGGTACATCTCAACGGAATGCTCTTGTACGAGTTCAAAGAACGGCAGTCTGGGTGGTCTGTGTCGTCCATCGAGGTTGGAGGAGATGTGTTCATACATTCTATTCATATCGGCTAATTGCCACAGATTCTTGAATTTCGTTGAATAAAGAATTCATTCTGACAGTACCGTATTGCAATTAATGCTTGTGTGTTTGTTGGGGGTGAGCAACCCTCTACCTTGCGGATTTTCGATTTCATACTAAGATATGATCCTCACTTTCTATGTGCCTCCGTGAATATAGTCCGGTCGAACTGCCCAGAGTTATCGTCGATGCCATTTATTTATTCGTAATTTATCTCCTCACCTCGAGGGGCGTCATAGAAATGATACGTCAAGGAAGCACGAACATAAGTCAAGGTGAAAAAAGGTAATAGGATTGAAAAAAGCGACATTTGTTGGCCTCGAGGTTTCTTCGAACAGACTTCATTGTTGGCTGCTTATTTAATTATTTGTTGACTTATGTGTTTCTTCAAAAAGTTGACGTGACGAAATTTGCGTCTGACGCTTATATTTCTCTTTCCAGAATGCATGCTTCTAAGTTCCTCTTTGAGCCATACTCATGAGCTGTTCGAGTTGGCTTTATGATAGGCGTGGGTGGCTGAGGGGTTGCAGAAGATTCCTTGTACCTGTACAGTCCATGGGTTTAAACCACTTTATTAAATCTGTTACTGATATTGCATGATACCATGATAGCTTTGAATATTGCCTGTTTTCCGTTCTATTCAATTTTGAAAACACGTCTTTTTTGAGTTTGTAGGATGGTTTGATTATCTTGACAGGGATGAGATAAATTCAAAGTGATGGCACAAATCAGCAAGAAGGATTTTATCATTTCACTCATCAACAAATCCATTACTCTCCCATTCACTCGAGTAAAAATGCAAGAAATTCTTCGCGTGAACGGTCACCATGTGGAATTATCAATTTATGCTAATAATGAACTAATTTATTTTAGACAAAAGTAAATAGGTGACTGGAACGGCACGCTCTCTGTGGCTTCCGATGGTTATGATCCCATCTTCATTCATTATTACTGTTTGCACGCAGGGACGAGCGCACGGATGGCCGAGTGGTCTAAGGCGCCAGACTCAAGCGTAAACTTGCCGTGAGATAGCGGTGCTGGGCGTTCTGGTACTCGTATGGGTGCGTGGGTTCAAATCCCACTCCGTGCAAACCTTTTGTTCTTTCTTTTTATCAGTAACCCAAAAGCAACAATTTTTTTCTTTTGATAGGGTCTTCTTTGGAAAATATCTTGGTATTTACTCCTTTACTTAGCCATATTTATCTAGAGGAGTGATCATGCTTGGTGTAGTGGGAAATAGTGCTGGTACCACTATTACGGAAAGTTGGTTTTGCAAAAATTGGTTGACTTTGCTCGGAACCCGATCTTACGGCCATCAATAGCCACAAATCGCTTTGAGTCATTTGCTGCACTACTGTGCACTACTTTAGTATTGTTTTGACTAGCGCAATTCACCTAACATGAGGGAAGTTCTACGCTGACAACAAGTCGGATTTCAATTCCGAGCACTAGACTCCAATAATTGTACAAATGCTAGTAAACCCTTGATCGAGAGCTGTTTCTGATAACTATTACGCATAGCCATCTGCTTGAGCTGTAACACTTACTACAAGTGTCATTGAATGGAACAATCATAGATCATAGATATGCCACTTATGCCACTGCAAGTGCGGCTGAGAGGCCCAATGTGGACCGTTTATCGTCTTTAATGGTTCCTGTGCGGGGGTATGTCGCTTGATTTTTCGCTTTTTTTTCGAATCTTTTTTGAGGCTTCTCTGTTCATTCCCATCTTTCTCACAAGGGAAGGATCCCAAGTCGAAGTGGCCAATTGAAATGGGATCCATACCGCTAGGCGTATTTTTTAATGCTGATTTCAAATCTGCATTCAAAATCTGCCAAACGATTCTCTGAACGAAGTTATGGAGGTGGTCTCGGAGAGCGCTCAACAGGAGAAAGCACAAAAGCCATGGTCGCCGGCACCGCAGCAGTGGCGGCTTGGAGTGGAGGTAAACGTGACACTTCACAGGCATGGACCAAGGATCGGGTTTGGTGGGCGGTGGCGTTTTTGCATCTTGCAGGACTTCAGGTTGTAAAAAGCTTTTTATGTTAGTTTTACCGCCTTCAGCGACTTTCTAGTTGCTGGGGCAAGTCAGTTCCTACTTAAACCGTTTTCCACTGCTATCGATTAGTTTTTAAAAAAGGTGGGGGTTGCTGTGTGGCAAACCCGGCAAAGTAAGCTNAATGGTGGCCGAATATGCCTTCAAACGCCTTCTTCAATCCCACAATGAGTTTCAGGTAAGCCAAATTAGGTTGTCGTATTCCTTTGGGTAGGTGCAGTCATCAATTTCAATCTTTCAGATCTT